TCGACTAGGACAACGTTCAAATATTAGACAGAGAAAACACCAAGAATGCTAGACAATTTTGTAGAAGCCTGGTATTCCAGTGAATTGTTAATCAATAGACACCTTGACAAGGACAAAATTTACCAATCGATAAGAAGGGAATGTCACACACAAAGGGTCGAACTTCAAGTCAAGAAAACAATCAGTACAGATACAAGTAGTTTAAAGGGTTTGAAAATACACAAAAACAACCAATCACGTCCAAGGTCCCCCACTTGGAGAGATGACTAATAAACTCGTGGAGAAATCTGAAAGCTCACTTCAATTCAAAATGAAGTATGTGCTGAAGATGTTGCCTAGTGAGTGAATGAAAGCTTTGCAAATAAACCATCTAGCTCAGAGAACACAACTGCACAAGAATCATCCACCTGAGCTACAAATCTTCTCCATCATATCTACACTAACGACTAATTGACTGATGGGATTTTAACATAGAACTATTCATAGAAGTACGCCAGCTCAAGTCGCCACACTTCATATAGCGTACAAGGGGAAGAAAAAGAGATTCAGAAGAACGATAATAAGCAGAAATGTAAGGGAGAGGGAATATTAACATAGAAAGACAATAGGGTTTAATGGAGATGGGAGAACACGAAGAGGGAATGCATCTGCGTCACTGACTACGATTTTCAACCATGTCACCAATTGTCTCCAACCATTTGATCTTAGCATCTCGAGGACCCCAACCAGTCAACCCAACGCACCACTGACCTTCAGATGACCAATAGCATCAGCCCTGCATATTTGAGCGAAAAAAAGGAAACACAATTAATCATCCATACCAAAGCAAAAATTTAAAGAACGGTATCCTGTTTAATATCCTCGTCCTTTTCCAGCATTTCTTTGCTAATATGGTGTCTGTTTCTCCCTGTTTCACTATCTTGAGTTGGTCAGTCAACTAGAACACCATTGGTGTACTCACTGCTTTTGGTCACTATTCTTTCATTTAGTTTTGGTTTACTTTATGAATTTCGACAAAACAAAATGTAATTTATTTGAATCGTGTAGTGTGTTTGCGTAAAAATTAGCAGACTATCTAAACACACACTTTATCATGAGAATGAAATATGTGAAATATATGAAAATAATAAAAAGTGAAGGGTTGAGAAAATGAACACTGGATTAATCACTATCTGACATCAGTTATAGAACTTTTGGAAGACCGTGGAGTACTGGATAGCTGTTTCGTCCTATTTTGGGGCTCTTCAGTAGTATGAAACCACCCTGGACCTTCAGATTACGAGGCAAGCTCGTTGACGATCCATTCACTGGAGCTTGCTCCAACGGTCCATGAATTCCAACACAGACTAAGTTAAAAAGTTTTAAGTGAAGGCCAAAATATCAGTGGAGATTAATAGACTAAACAGAATGATTCAACATGAGCCTGTTGCTTTTGGGTATGAAAATACAGAAACCCTCCGAATTATACATTAACACAAATTGATGTGAATATGATGAAAAACAAGTTGTATTTGAACATAAAATTTCAGTTTTTTTCCGTGAAACAAATTCTCTTCGGACTATATTCTATGATGTAACAAGTTTACAAATCGTTATATTCTCGTTTGTCATCCGAAATGTAGGTAATTTCAACTTCACCGAACTAACAATCTAGTCTATTTTATTTTCCATTGGTAAGAATTGATTGGTTAATCACTAAAATTGGTCTGGTCAAATATTTATTTATAAAGTTGCCTAGATTTTCCTGTTCAATGTACAATGATTTATGTTTGATCTTTTTCTTCAGTGTACAATAGTATAATATGCATAAATTCAATCTATTACGTGAGAGAATACCTTCTGTTTTGTGAACAGCTTGCTTTTTGGCACTCACATGTCAGCAAGGAGTATCTGCAACCTTGAAGGAACTCATGTCCCTTCTGATATTCAAACCCTTACAACTCAGCGCAGCAGTCACAGACATTACCAATGAGCTGCTTGGATTCGTGATTTACCTCCTGTAGGACTGTAGTGGATACTTTGGTCGGACACTAGTGTCATGTGTCTATTCCTTTGTTACTGCAGGTTGAATTCTATCAGTCAAGTTTTCCACCATCTTAGGGTAGGTGGCTTACCATCATGGTGCACTCGGAATTGTTGTGTTCAGATGGTTGGAGGCAATTGGCAGAAAGTCTTGGACCCAAGTTTCGTGCCTGTTGGCACTCGTCAACTAATCGTTTAACTCAATCTGTGATTAATAATTACAGACAGATAAACCTAATTATTGACTTAAACTGACTAATTTTATTGCACGTGAGTCTTGCTTATTAAGTCACTGTAGTTGTAAATTAATTTTTACAGGTTGTTGCTTGAGTCTGTCGCCTTAACACTATATTGACAATGTGTTACGTCTGTTTATACAAATAATTGCTTAGTAGTATCATACGGTAGACAATGGGGTTCAAGAAGACGGACGAACGTTGGGCTGAATGTAGAATATTTGGAATTTCCAGACGACTGATTCATGTTTAGTGTCACATAATCTAGATGATCTACAGGCGAGAATTAACAAGTTGACGGAGGAAGTAGTGAATATATGACTCCACAGAGGTGACAGAGATACCTAACTAACAAGAACAGCAATCATTATCATTGGATTAAATTTGAAAGAGTTCACTTCCTTCACATATTTAGGCAGCATCGTTTTAACTATAGACACCACGCGTGAAGATATCAAAAGCAGGATTGGAAAAGCCAGACAGACTTTTTTATTTGAAATCAGATTGGAAATCTACACTCACCACAAGAAACAAGATTCGGGTTTTCAACATGAATTTGAAATCAGTACGATATATAGTTCGGAGACTTGGCACATCACCAAAACCGTTTCCAACAGGTCATAGAATTTCATTAACAGCTAACTTCGTCAACTCCATACTGAAGATCAGACTGACAAAAAAGATTTGCAACAAGAAACTCTGGGAACTAACCGACGAAGAACCTATCTCCCAATAAATATCCCTTAGGAAATGGAGATAAATTGGTCACACACTGAGGAGACCGTTGAGTAACATCACGTGCTAGGCATACTTTCGAGTGAAACCTGAAATGGAAAACGACGAGTTGGATTTTTGAGTGTGACATCTGGAAGATCGTGCAGACAGCTAAAGGGGACTGCAGAAAAATGGATGAAATGGAAATGTTCTGTTGAAACCCATTTGGAACCCAAGGCAGTAATAATATTCTAAAATCTACAAGTGTTCCCATTAGTCGGCGTAGATAATAGAAATTTCTCAAATTCAACAGATGCCATCTCGTTGTCTTCGTAACTTATATTGATTTACGTTTATCTCTGGTTTAAATAGTGTTTACTTTTGTTCTTATCTGTTGAACACCTTGAACTTCTTTTATTAAACATAAAATCTTCCTTTTATGGCTCATTTCCATGATGTGCTCCATGATAGATGATGTTCGGTATCTTTTTCTAAAGTCAACTGAGTTAGGCCGTTTTACGTATGAAGGAAAAAGGAAGATACTGTCGGATCGAATCTCGTACTAGACTTTTATAAAGTTATAAAAAATCGATGTATTTTTGTTGTTAATTCTACTATAATGCATAGTTAGTATATTATTGTACTTTTTATAAGAAACTACTTTTTTGTTTTCTAGACCGTAAATATGTGTATTCTCTTATCAATCAGTGTTAGTCGTTTTTGTTTTAAACTATTTTAATTATTACAAGAACTAAAACTTCTTATTTTAGAAAAAAATATGCTCTCTAATTAATCCTTGAGTTAATTCTTTTGTTCACTGAAATAAATCAATGTCTCTGAATTTGTTTAAACTTGTTATACCAGTGGAATTCAATGTTCAATATTCTATCTTACAACTGAATAGAAATATTCCAAATGGAAATTGTTACTTCATCAGTTGATGTCCTAAATGAAAAAAATACCATCGGGTACCAATTGCATAATTGGTGGATTCTGCTACCAGTCTGACTTGTGGCAAACGCTTCAGGATTGAAAGCAGTCGGTTCTAAGTTTGATTCTGAGTGAGACAAACTAGGGATGCAAGTAAATGCAGTTGATGAGTTTTAGACAGGATGAAACGTCCCTTTTCTAGACCCCACTGCTAAACATCAACAACAAAGTAAAGGGAAAGTAAAACAGACTAAAAATAGTATTACATCATCAAAGGTGTGTTTTAACGATACGTAGTTCGTGTTCTGACTTATTTAATTCCTCTTGTGCCGCTTGGTAGTATCATGATCTGTCGCACAACAATTATGGCTTATAGTCTGATAATACACGAAGAATATATGATCCAGTTAACTGACTTCAATCAGGATTACTCATTGCTTCCATAGAAAAGATTTAAACCATGGAGCCGAGCTTTTCAGATGTCTATATTGATTTATCTCTGAAAGCCTAATTGTTTGTACAGTTCAGGGAAAACAACAGGCACCATTAATGATTTTTTTATCTTGATATTTACATTACTCTGGTCTGATTAGCTACTTCCATAAATTTGGTTATAAGTGGTTATAGTTATTCAAGTTCGTCAGTCATATTTATAACGAAGGAGGAATGGAATTCTTTTTGAATAAAACGAGAAGTTGTCTTCAACTGAGATCAGTAAGAATTGTTTCTCCCAGCGGTTTAATACTCTACGAGTTCGCCTTGTAACCAGAATGTCGTGGGTTCGAAAGTCTGGTTTGTCGGTGGTATAGTGGTAGAATGTTCGGTAACCACACATGCGGTTCGGGGTTCGATCTCAAGCCGACGCATACCTTTACCTCGCTAAACCAGTAGTAAGACTGGTTAAGAGGAAAGGTTGGGCATGAGGCTAGCAGCCTCATCCCGTAAAAATAACATTAATGCTGCAGAAACTTCAAGCCTCTAACTTGAAGCCCTATGTTCCATTGGGGACGTAAAGGATTAAAAAAAACAATCGTTTGTAGCAAGTGTTCTTTCTTTTCAATCCCATTCTTTATTGATAAACTTTGTTTTTCATACAAGGTACACACTAACTATGGTTCTCAAGGTGTTGCTTTGATACGATTACGTAATCCATGGGGAAATGAACGTGAATGGTCTGGTCCATGGAGTGATCAATCTAAAGAATGGCGAAGTATACCACCTGATGAAAGAAAACGCATTGGTCTTACTTTTGATGAAGATGGAGAATTCTGGTAAGTGTATTACTGAGTTTATATCTCATGTTTGATTTTTTTACAAGGTTCAAATGAGATAGGCAAAGTTTCTCTGTTAGTTAACATATGTGTAAAACCTTAGATGGTCAACGGGTTCGTCTTGTAACATGGTCTATGGTTCAATGTCCGGTGAGTTCATAGGTGTTTACTGTCAGTATGTTGTTTTCAGTGGGAATAAATAGTTCTAATTTTTCTTCAGGAAAATAAGTTGTCTAATATATTTGAAAAATTACTTTGTAATAAAACATCTTTGTATGTCTATACTTTTATTACAATACAAGATATGTTGATCAAAGATGTTGGAATTAGCTAGACATTACAGACAATGAATACGCTGTTATTATTGATCCCCTTAAGCTCCACTTGGAACATAGGCTTCAATAGCCATGGTCTCTGCACAGTCCTCTTTAGCTATACCCACGATTGCCCACAAGCGCTCATCTCCTTCTCACACGATCTCCTGCATGTCAACCTCGGAAACACGCCCAACTCGTCATTTCCCATTACGATACCACTTGAAGGCTTGGAGCGAGATGTCGCTTAACGGTCTGCTCAATAGGTGTGCCTGATAAACCTCCATTTTCTTCCCCATATTCGTTAAGCACTTACTTCTTGATTAGTTCGTTCCTAGAGTTTCTTGTTGACGAATCTTTCTGGCCATCTAATATTCATTATGGAGCCATCAAAAGCAACTGTTGATGAAAGTTTACAGTGGCCTGTTAAAAATGTTATTGATGGCGTGTCATTCAATTCTCTGACCAATTTAGATGAAGTAATTTAACACTGATGTCGGAAAACAGAATTTGTTGAGAAGAGAAGATCTTCAAACTGATTTCAGAGTGATGAAGGTCTGCCTTGCCTACAGGCAATAAGTTTTTATTTATTCATTTTTTTATTCCTCTACGTTCCCAGTGGAACATAAGGCTTCAAGCTAGAGGCAGCAGTGGTGTTGATTTTTACACGATGGGGTTGCTAGCCTCACACCCAACCTTACCTCTTTACCAATCTTATTACTGGCTTAGCGAGGTAAAGGTATGCGTCGTCCTGGAATCGGACCCCGCACTACTCTCGTTGCTGGCGAATATTCTACCACTGTGCCATCGACGCACAGTGAGGCAGTGAGTAGTCTATCTAAAATTTGGTTTTCTTTATACCTTCATGGTAACTTTAGATCCTGTCATTTCATCTTTATTCCATACATGGTTGATGCATCTATGGCTGGAACTAAATGACTTGCAAATGCCTCATCATTTATAAGTGGTTCTTCATGTAATATTGATGTGATGCTACAGTTTGCAAATTGTCATTATTATTAATTCCTTCCGTTCCATGCGGAACAATAGGCCGTATGCATTCCATCTGTATTGTACCCTATTCTCTCCCATCTTTTTTATCTGGCTCGACTACTACCCATAAGCGTTCCTTTCTTCTTAGCACTACCTCCTCTATGTCAGACTCTGATACCCTACTAACGGCATTTGATATCACTTAAATATCCCCTCAGCATATGTGGAGTCTATCTCCATTTCTTTGCTGCATATATGTTAGACAATAGATTGTTGAATTCGCTAGTGCCATAGCTCCCTGTTGTTTATCCCTCCTGGTAGGCCATCTGATCTTCAGTATGCATCGAAGATGGATGCTGATGAAAGTATGCAGAAGCCTATTATAAGTGGTTTCAGCGATGTGGCAATTCTCTGAATCATAAACAAGCACTGACTTGAAATTAATGTTGAAAACTCACATGTCATTTCATGTGCTGAGTAGTGTAGACCTCCACCTTGATTTCATATTGATGAAGGTCTGTCTTGCTCCCCTTATCCTGACTTGCTTTAACATCCTTATCCGTTCCATCTGTAGTTGAGGCAATACTGTCCATGTAAGTGAAAGAGACAACTTAATTAAGATTTATCCTGTTGACGGTGATTGCTGTTAGTTGCTGTCTTCTAGTAATCTTCATCTCTATTTTCTCTATATTCATCTGAAATCCAGTCTTTAATGCCTCTTCTGACAACCGCCTGTTGGTTTATTCTTGTATACTTTTGAGTTTGTTCGATATTAAAAATGAATTGCCTGCGATATCCAAGTCATCTAGGGTCTTTCCGTCAACTCAATGCATCTCCGTCTTTTTGGTCTTCATGGTTTACCGCATGATTTAGTGAACCACAGTTAGGAATACCACTGGTAGTAGTAATAATAACAGTAATCTTTTCCATATATTCCTCTTATTAGATTCTCATCCTTTTATGTAAATATTAGTCGATATACTACTCTTGAGCAGCCCGCAGCACAGTAATACTACTCAATTAAAAGTAGTTTGATTATTCTTTAGCAGAAGTCTTTGATTAAATGAAAATAGTAAAGTTTTATAGCTCATGGGGTTGACTTCTGTACGGCTGAGCAAATTAGCAAAGTCAGCTATAAGTACCTCTATAGACTTCCTTTCTGTTTATTTGGTTGTTTTTAAAGAAAATCAGCACTCACTCCTCGTCCAAGGATAAAAAGAGTGAAATGTTTGTAAATATAGCTGACTGCCTAACCTATTTAAGAAGCTGGATAAGTTTTAAGTAGTCTGGTTGTCTACAAGCTTCCGGAACGTCAACTTGCATAACTCTAACATGCTGCCGTAAACCTCGCTTTCAATCAATAAGCGTGCGTGTAAGCTGCACAGCGTTTTATCTCGTCTGTGAAACTTGTTCATCTAGAATATTTTCCTTATTCCTTTGCTTTAAGCTCTGGATTTTCATAGGCTGTGCTATTTTTTAGGGGCTTGAGTTGCTAGACTCACTCCCGATTTCCCCTTTTCCTAAGCTTCCTAACAGGTAGTAAACTAGATGAGATTTAGGAGTTCGCTGACGCGAATTAGACCCAGACCCCGTGTGTGACTGACTGGGGAGCATCCTACCACTGAACAATCGATGCACCGTAAGTAGTTAACAGGTATAATAGTATCAAAAAGGTTTTTGACTATAGGTACTCTCATTCCATGTTAGTTAACAGAAGAGAAGACTAGATCGACAAAGTTGTTAGCTGAAATAGGATTTAGGTTGAAAAAGAGTTGTAGACGATCAGACTAAAGCCTGATTTCAATTCTTGTATTCATTGATTGTTAGTTTGAACCACGTAGGCAGGTATAGACTAGCTGTTTTTTCCATTCTCTGAAATGTTGGATCTCAATGTCTTGAAATGTGGAAGTCCAGTGTGTTAGCAAGTTATTATTTCTTCGCACTACATAATACTTGGTGCGTCATCGACATGAAGAAATTAGCCGATCGAAACAATACAACAGCAAAAGAAAATAACCAATTTGTAGGATGTCTACAGGATGAATTTCCTAAAGCTGCAGCGGGAAGTTGTGACCAATGGGATACCACCTTATCGAGATGAATTAGACACTTTTCTAAGGTATTGGTGAAAGCGGCGCTATATCACGAGTTGACAGATGTTGGAATTCACGCGTCACTGGATTTTGGCTTAAGTGGGTATATGGTCAACAAGCTTAGTCGTCTCGTAACCTGAACATCTCGGATTCGATCCTTGACTTGATGTCGTGGGCGCACGCAACTGTAAAGTTTCAAAGCAGGATGAAGCACCTGGTTTCCATTGATCTCTCTAACTGATGTTATTTCTCGACGAAAATTTAACAACTAAAAATGATAAAATGATCTGAAATGAATAGAGAAAAGATACTTTTCCAAAATAATAATAACAAAATGAACAGCCTAACGCTTTCATACAAACAACTGATTTCGTTACATTTTATTAAAGATAATTCTTAAACTTTTCAGTTAGTTATTAGACAGTCGTGTGCTTCACACTTCAAAAGAATACGATAGTACAAAATTATTCGATGTTAGGGAAAAAAGCTTCGTTTTTATTTCAGATAAATAATCGGAATTAAAAATAACAAAATTGACTCTGACGAAAGCGTAATTTTTATCAAAATGATAAACTAGTGTCTTCATCAAACTTATCTTACTTCACCTTGCATTTGAAAGTTTAGTGAAGAAAAGCACAAATGAATGAAAATAATATTTCAATTTAGATCTTCTCATAAACCAGTATCACCTATAAAATCACCGAACGCACCCACTTGGGTTTGAACCCAGGACCTTCATCTAACAAGGTGAGTTCGTGGACCATTCAACCACCAGGACCAAATCCTTGCAGACGAGCACTTGATAATTAATCGGATGCTTACAAGCGGCTGGGAGTTTCCTGGAGTTGTAGCGATAAGTCGTAATCATCCAGGTTCATCAAGTCAGGTAAGAGAACGGTTACTCTCATATGATATTGGCTGTTGGTTGCGCTATGTATAAATCGCGAACCGGCAGAAGTTGGAAATCATGGGCCATTAGATTAGGTTCCAGTGGTTGAATGGTCCACTAGTTTGCCTTGTAACCTAAAGGCCTTGGATTCGATCCCAGGTGGCATCGTAAGTGTGTCCTGATGAGGAGTCCCAAACTAGAGCGAAATAGTAATAAATGTTATCTGGGAATGAAGTAGTTGGAACGATTTCTCTGTTTGTTTGTTTTTCTGACTACGTAACTCTACTAAATTATTACATAATGATTGTGGCTTTGATTTTTGGGATAAAGTTTTTACGTAAAATCATACAGTGAATGTGGTATGAAATCTCTTTTTGAAGACTTCGACTTTCATCCTGTAAGAAATCTACACCAAAATGAGGACAAATAGTGCAAAGAAGAACCTGTTTTGATCAGTTTCACTTACACTTATACTAATTTTTTCTTGTGTTTTAGTGTGACAACTATTAGCATCATTGTCTTAACTACACTTTTGTTCACTACCTTGCGTAATACGTCTTTTTTCTTATCTCCTTGTCTTTTCCATTAACATTTAATTTTCTAAGGAGTTTTTTCTCTTTCATTACGTCATCTCTAATCTAAACTCACTAATCTTTACACCTTTAGTTATATTCTGGTTAATCTTTACTATTCTGGAATATTTTATGATGTTGTGAACGGTATTCTAAAGTGATTTCCGTTTGCTATGTTTAATGAACTGTGAATGTACAACTAACCACAAATGAAGCAAGACGTTATTCGCTTGGTTTATATTATATTTCTTAAGCTTTTAGATCTTTATTTTCATTAAATTACCGAGATAATTTGTACGCATTGCACCAATCATAACTTACACTTCAGTATGTCGTATGTAAAACAGGAATTATAGTACTTTTAATTTGACACTAGTTAGTAACTAGTGTATTGTATTCAGTTCTTTGTTTGGTGCATACTGAATTCTATCAGTCAAGTTTGCAATATGGTCACCATTCTAATTGAATCGCCATCACGGAGCACTTTTAATCATTGATATTAGATGCTTGGGGGCAATCGGTAGGAAGCCGTGAAACTAGATTTCAAATGCCACCTAGCACGAAACCTAGGTCGAAAGCCGCCTGCTGATTGCCTGCAACCATCTAATATCTAGAATTTTAGTAGTGAATTTGATTTACACATAATTCAAAGTTTAGAGAAAACAACTAACCAGTCACTTCCAAAAACCAACAACGGAATTAGCTTACATGTATTCTTTAAACAAAGACCTACTTACGCACAATTAACTCATAGCGTTACAGTTATTCATTTTCATGTCTACAAAAATAACCAATAGAACATAGAACGATGTACTGTATCATCACATGTGCCTGCAGAAATGATTAAAAGTTGACTAAATGAACAGGCTTGCCCTATTGGTTCATACATTTATTCCTTTACGTTCCCAATGGAACATAGGGCTTCAAGCTACATGCTTGAAGTTTCGGTAGCATTGGTGTTTATTTTTACGAGATGGGGTTGCTAGCCTCATGCTCAACCTTCCCTCTTTACCAGTCTTATTACTGGCATAGCGAAGTGAAGGTGTGCGTTGGTCTGGGATCGGAGCCCGGACCACCTGTTTGGTTGGCGACCATTCTACCACTGTGTCACCGACACACCGATTGCTTCATGTACGTATTACATGCTTGTCTATGTAAGCATTCAGGAGTCTTCATGGATATACTCAGCATACTCGACGGATGACTGTGAAATGAGCGCTGATTGGTAGTGTGTGTGTGTACACCCTAGAGATTTGACCTTGTTAATCCAGTTAATTCTAACCTTCTGTTTGAAAACATGCAGACTACTAAAGTCGAAATAACGTAAGTGAAAAGTCGGTGTTTGTAAGCATAATACTCTTACACTTTTAAAATGGAATTTATTTTCGCACGACTAGTAAGAACACTTCTCTTGTAGAACCTTTGAATAGTAAAACGTTGAAAACATTAGCTAAATTCACTGTATTTCAAGGCAGCTATGTGTGCCGATATATCTGTGATATAGTACATGAAGTCTTTACATCATGTACCACCCAGCTTTACCTCGGTACAGAATATCATTGGAAGATTGTCTCTTCTTCTGCAACACACGTGTTGACTACACTCGCACCAGTTTGTGTAATTTTATGCCCTACGTCTAAAACCTGACCTAGGTGCCAAGTAACAATGAAACTGCTTCGCATCCAACTCGACAAGAACACATGGTCTATATTTAGGGAAGCTGTAACTCACCACATCCGAAAATAACAGAAATACTCATCATCAGGCAGCCTTGCATCATATCCTGATGTAGGGGTAGATTGGAGAAGAGGTAGGAATGGTCACTTAAAAATAAGGCATCAATGTATAAAATGTTTAACTGTTGATTTCAGCCAGCTGCGTAGGGAAGTATAGACTGTAATGATAAAACTAACTAAAATGACAATACAATGTTTTTCAATAGGATCAACTAAAAATAAGCACCCACAGCCTATTGTGCAAGTACTTCCCATCATCTCTATATTGCAATTATGTATATATTATCGTATTCAGTAAAAACTATATTTAAATAATTATATATGTGTTTTTTTCTATTTGTGTTGTTCTTATTGTTCATTATAAAGGATGTCGTTTAGTGATTTTGTACACTATTTCTCTCGTCTTGAATTATGCCATCTGGGTCCAGAATCAATATCGTATAGTCCTCGTGCTACTACACGTCGTCGAGCTACTCACCGATGGGAAATGATTCGTGAAGAAGGCGAATGGTTGCGTAATTCTACTGCTGGAGGATGTTCTAATTTTCCAAGTAAGTAAGATTTTTTTTAAATGTGTAATTGTCTTAGTAGTCCTTTGGAGGTATTTAGCTAGGACAAAAGAATAACGCGTCAGTCTAATATTTTTCAGTGATTTCACTGTCGTATACTCGTTATTAACTAAAAAGACATCGATTAAAAGGTGTATTGAAGCTTTGTTTGGCAGTAATCACTACATGAAGAATTCTGTTGACTGTTTGGTACACCACTCATTCACACAGAAATATTTCTACAGCGTTCTTCTCTCAAGGGGATTTGGTAACATCAAAACACTGTGAAAAACTGTGAAAATTGCAACTTTAACAACAAAAGAAAAAAACTCTATGCTGCGTAAAAATCACCAAAGAAAAATTCAATTGGATAGGAAGAAAGTGAGTGGTCTGTGGACTTCAGCTTAACTGTTCGCATAGATTCTTTCACACACTATAGTTAAGTAAATAAGAAAAACGTGTTTTCAGCGGCCTTTGATGTATTTGATAATTATGGTGTCTGTACCTGGACACTGTTCATGATTCACATAATCTTTAATTTACTGAACACGACAAAGAACTCATCTTGTAAAAAAAGCGACACCACCACTGCTGGATCTTCAAAGCTCTGGAAAATAAATCTGCTATCCCTCAGAATCAAGAAGACTCCTCAGTTGGAGGTGGGATGATCGAGGCTTTTGAAAGCCGTTGTGAAGCTAGTCGGCTGATGTGTCTTGTTTCGATTTAAGCAAAAGTAAGTATAGAGAAGTGGAATGCTTGAAGCATATTAGATGCTGCTCAGGTTGCAGAAGAAACGAGGTATAGCATAAAAATATTAAGAATCTATAAGATCAGATGTGATGGAAGTGATTATGACGGAGTGGTTCTCCAGACATGAAACTATCACCAAGTGAGCACCTGAAAACATCCCTCACTCAAAGGTTAGACTGGAAAATACGACAACAATAGCAATAACCCCGAAAACATTTATTATTTACAAATCCTCAGGACTTTAAGCCGTAAATAAACAAATCAAAAGCTGTCCAATCATATTGTCATGTCATGACTTCATGACTGACACAGGAGTTTATCCGTCCTAACAGAAGTGAATTGTGGAGAGTTACTAATCTACTGTAGTCACTCTTATAACAACCGCAGACATACTGTCATGATGACACTAACAACATCGGAAGCTCTTATGCAGTGGTTCGTGACTGCAGCAACATTCAACTGAAAAGGAAGGGAAGTTACAATTATATAATGCCACTTTGCTACAAAAAGTCCTTTGTCCCACTCAGAACGTAAGGAATGAATTATAAATACGCTAACGAGTACATCTCATTTGGCTTTCAAACAACATATGATTCAAGCTTCTAGTCTCAAGTGAAACAAAATATTTTTCTGTATCATTTTCAATAATGATTGTCTGATTTCTTTAGATTTTAAACTTTCTGTTTCTATCTCCATCTAGGTATCTTGAGGTCATGACTTTTTTAAAAGTATATTGAATAAGCATCTTACTCATTGATTAGCATATTTCACAACAACAAGTAAAAATTGATGTGATACCTTCAACATATTCTGTCTTTTCGCACTTTAAATAAGGCTGACGAAAACCACATAGGAGGGAATTGATTTCCTTAAATTTTACCAAAAAGTTACTTTTGAATATTAAACTCGTATTAATGACTTCGATACTAAAGGAGCAAATTAGCGTCTACTGTGCTTAGATTACTTCCATCTGGTTAACAAGCACAATTGGTTGATTACAGGATTTCATCATGAGCTGACATTGGTTAGAGAAACATTGGAAAACCTGGGAGTACCGGACAGCTGTTCCGTCGTAGTTTGGGACTCTTCATCAGCGAGATGCTCACTGGTGACTGGCCCTATTCAGGTAGGTAGTTACCTGGGGTTCTAGTGCGAAGTCGTGGCCAGTAGGGTGCAGCGGATCGGGTGTGGGAACAAATACTCGCTGAAGACATTAGCTAGCGGTCGCGCTATGTCGTGAATTGGCAGAAGTTAGAATTCACGGACAGGCCATTGGATCGGGTCCCAGTGGCTTAATGGTCTGTGAGCTCACTAGCCTTGTAACTATACGGCCCTGGGAGTGTACTGGTGAAGAGTCCCAAACTAGGACGAAACAGCTTTCCAGTACTCCCAGGTTTTCCAGTGGTTCTCTAACCAATGTCAGCTCCTGATGAAATCCTGCAACCAATCAGTCAAATCCCTAGAAACCAATACTTGAATAACAATTGGTTGACTTGAGTAATTTCCAACTACTCATGTGAATGAGTAGTATATATATCATAGAGGTATGTATTTCGCTTTGTTTTGTCGCTGTTTATGACATCAGGTAGATCACATATCTTGATATGAGTACTTTTCGCTTCCAAACGGAATAGTGGTGATTTCTCTTCACTTTCCAGATCGATACGTGCAAATAGCTTACATACACACACATTATGTTTAACTCATTTACCTGTGCACTTTCTTTGCAGTGGTTACATTACCATCATTCTAATTTTTTTATTTTAAACGCATAACTCAGGTATGCATGATAAATCTTATTCTTTGAAGTTATTTTGATTTCCTTCTTTGATTGATTACATTAGTCTCTGTTGACTTTTCCGCTCCTAGGAAGTACACTCTAACGATGCATCCAGATCGACATGATGTTACTTGGTTAATGAGGACTAGCAATGGAATCTAGGATGTGTGTTTTGAACTCGACAGTTAGATGTATTTACATCCGCATTTAGAAATGGTGTTCCCGCTCAGACTTGAACTTAGCACGCACTGTTTCAAACATTATCTAATGGGTCTTGAGGTCCACTACTTATACACCAGGAGACCAGTTGTTATTTGTTCAATTTATTTCGCATTTCCTGTTAATCGATTATATTGAAGTGAAATGCTCGTTCATTGTCGACTTGCCAACTCATACCCGTTGCACAAATGGTGACTCTTATACTCCAACTGATAACATCTCGCAGTTTGGAACTCAGTGAAAATACCGCGACTTGGAATTCAAATATATTTTTATTATTCGGCGAGTCTTCGCTAAACAACCTGTATTACTTTATTCTTCATTAATGACTCCTGGATGGGTTTTGGATAATTTTCGTGAAACACTTCTACTCACTGTTAGTAGTATAATTTTTATGCAACAAATTTAATCACGTTGACTATAACTCCAACCACTTTTTTTTCTTCCATTTAGATACCTTCTATATGAATCCACAATTTCATGTTGAAGTTATGACTCCAGATGAATCAGACAGGGATGGTTGTGGCACACTTGTAGTTGGTTTAATGCAGAAAGGTTTACGAGAGAAACATATTGAACCCCATGTGATTGGTTATTCCATTTATCGGGTAAGAATTCGTCAACTTATTTTTTATTTGTGTAATGGATGACGATCACCAATGGTGAAATAACAACATGGGTCGGGATAGGATTCGAACCAGTCGCCTTCTTACTGACTTATAGTCGGGAACTCTTCCAGTTCAGCTATGAGGTACAACTCCCAATCACATCATTATTTCACTGCAAGCAACACCGGCAATGTGAATGAACGTTTATCATAAAACACGAGTTACCCAGATAGGTCTTCTCCTGTCAATTCTAATCACACATACTGAATTTGAAGGAGGAAATCGGGTACTCAGACGATTGTAATTTGTCAAATCCTAGTATACAACTGTGACAATTTTACATCGTAGAACGCTGCACCCGTTAGAGTTGTCGTTATTACTTTTTTTAAATATGAGAGTAAAATGAATACCTGTTCAGTAGATATGCTATTTTGAAAGTTAGTTCTGTTTTCAAAACGACTTTCTCTTTATATCTAGTTCACTAGTAGTTACTTGTGGCTTTGTTTTAGACTTTTGGAAATTTAAGTAGACTAAGAAGGGTAAGCAAATATGACTACGTTTAATTAATTCCTCTTCAAAATCTCACTGCAATACGCACCAAACTCATAATGCCACATATTACTGATTTAGTGAATGAAATGAGTTTTTGAATACCATCCACATTAATCACTAGTGCTTGCTGACCAGATTATCGAAGTGATTTAAACATCGGATGGCTGTCTTGTGTGTTTGAAGTCGAGCTCATTAGAGGGGTCTACCTGATTCAAATCAATTCAGAAAGTCGAATCAGTTTAAAACATCTGGATTCACAAGCACTACCAATTGATGTGAGTAGTGTTTAACTTCTCGCATCAATCAATCAGTAGTGTTTGATATCACGCATTTATGCTTGCTTTCTTGTTAACCAACTATCTATGATCTCAAGCGAATCACATGTTGCATGTGACATGAATAATTTCAGTTTCTAAAGTAAACTGTAGTGAAATTTTTTAGTCTCTAACCGTGTAATTTGAAAATTACAAATTTAAATTTTACATCATGCATTTATTCCCCTTGATGAATTTGAAGAGAGCAAAATCAACAGTTTGTGGTACCATCATTTATTTCGTTAGCTTCTCATCAGCTGCTTAAAGTCCAAATAAATTATGAGGCTAATGTACCGAAGAGTTTTAACATACTTGCAAATTTTACGTGATGTCAGTTGACAGGAGGTTCCGGAAGTAGTGAACAGTGCTCAGAAAATTACGCTTATATAGTTTCTACACAGGCAGTTCAAGTTTAAACAAAGTAAATGTATGCATACAGTGGTAAAGGAGTTAAGTAATAGAAACGAGAGATGTGCGAGATGAGGAGTGACTAATAAATTAGGCAACAATGTACTGAGTTCAACTCAAATCATAGAAACAAGAGATAAGCAAAATTACGCTATATCAAATGGGGTGAGGTTAAAGCCGAAGATTGCGTAATTGAATGAAAGAGGGAATAAAGACACCCAGTTATCAGGGCAGGGAATTACTGATGACTGCTTCTTGCTGACCACAGAAATCGGGTTTCAGGCGTTTAACAGAGATCGTTTCAGCAAATCTGAGGAGAATTGAGCTCTTTTGTTTACTGATAGTTTTAAAGAATTTCGCTATTTCCCCCTCATGACCCATATGAAGGAGATGTCTGGTAATTTTATATAACACCATTTGACTATTCATTGTGATTTGTATTCCAATGATAAGGATTATAAATTACACAGATAGTAACAGTGAGAATATTGAGAGTATAACCGATACTGAAAATAATGAAAAGGTAATAACACTGAAAAGGTAATAATAATAATAAGTAGGATGTGTTTATGCTTAGTATGATTTCAAATGGTTGGAGGAAATCGGCAGGAAGCCTTCAAACCCAGGTTTCGTCCTTGTTGGCACTTGATAGCAAGTCGTATCTGCATTCTTGGAGGAACTCATATCCCTTATGAGATTAGAGCCCAGGTCGTTCAGTCTGCACTAAATCAGAGAGTAGACGCATGGCATTAGTTACTCACGTATGGTCCAATCAAAGTACCTAATACATTTCTACAAGAGGTCAATCGTGAACCCAAACAACTCAGTGGGAACACCTCTGACTTCAGTATTAGGTGATCTGATTTCGAAATTCAGAAGATACATGAGTTCTTTCAAGATCACGGATACGGTCTGCTGATTTGTAAGTACTAACAAGTACGAAACTTACGTTAAATGCCTCCTGCCGATTGCCTCCAAGCTGTCTGTCTGGATTCAACATAGAACTTGGCACCGAAGTGCAGCAGTTCGAGTTGCCACGTTCCAAATAGCACACAGAGGTAGACAAGAAGATGAGTGAAGAGAATTAATAGAGTTTGACAAGTATAAGAGTGAAACAGAATGGGTAATGGTAGAAAGGAATATGAAAGATTACAGAGATTGAATACATCTGCGCCATTGACAACGATTTTGAGCCATGTCACCTATTGTCTCCAGCCATTGATTCCTAGAGTCCCGAGGGCCCCAACCCGGGAGTCTGCATCTCCCTACCTGACTCAGTTTAACTGTCAAGGATTTCATGGATTGATGCCATGTTTTTGTTTGGCCACCACTGGCTCTTTTCCAACCTGAACCTATATCAGCTAACAATGCCCGTCGGGGGAGGCGGTGGTTAGGCATGCGCACCACGTGACCTAGCCATCTTAGTCTATGTAACTTTATAACCTCGTCGATTGATTTTCCCTCTTTGCCCAACACTCTACGCCTAACGTCAACATTACTTACCTTGTGAAACCACCTAACGTGAGACAGAGATCGCAGACATCTATGATCGAAAGCAGTCAACCTTTTCATGTCTTCAACGCGTATTGGCCATGTTTCAGAGCCATAGAGAAGGACGGAGCGAACTGATGAGCAGTACACACGTCCCTTGGTTGATAACCGGATGTCACGCCTACGCCAGAGATGGTGTAAGTCAGCGAAAGCAGCTCGAGCTTTTCGGATCCGTGCTGAGATTTCATCGCCAATCAGTCCGTTGGTGCTAATACAACTTCCCAAGTAGGTGAAGTGGTCAACATGTTCTATCACTTCACTCCCTATCACTAAGTTAGGGGTTGACGTCGTCCAGTCCTGTAGCAGCATCTTACATTTTGCAGGGGCGAATCGCATGCCAAACATACGAAGATTGCTGCTCAAGGTGTTCAGAAGACTCTGCATTTTGTCAGCATCCTCCCCTAACAGGACTATGTCATCTGCATATTCTAAGTCCATAAGATTATTCCCTGGTAACAAGTCGATTCCTAAGTCACTACGTTCAGTTAAGGATACTTCCATTAGCATATCTATGATGAAGTTAAACAGAAATGGGGAAAGTGGACATCCCTGTCGGACACCACTGGTTGTTACCAATTCAGATGACAATTCCCCATAAGCCCTTACACGACTACGTGAGTTTGAATAGAGTGCCTTGATTAGTGCAATGTACTTTCTTGGCACTCCCTTCACAGTCAGACATTGCCATAGTACCTTTCGATCCACGGAGTCGAAGGCCGCCTTCAAGTCAAGAAATATGACAATTGTTGGACGCCGAAAAGTGTGTCTATGTTCTAGAATCTGTCGAAGAGTGAAGATATGATCTATGCACCCTCTACCTGGTCTAAAGCCTGCTTGATTTTCCCTTGTCTGTTCCTCCCGAGTTCTGCTTAGTCTATGCATGATTACTGAGCCTAGGATTTTAGAGACTATGTTCGTTAGGCTGATCCCCCTATGATTATCACACGAGGACTTGTTTCCCTTCTTGAATATCGGTATAATAAGTGACTTACCCCAGTCTGATGGTACTGTCTCTGATTCCCAGACTTTGCCTAGTACCTCAGTTAATCTACAAACTAGTATGTCACCCCCATATTTAAACACCTCCGGAATAATTCCGTCGGGTCCTGCCGCTTTGCCTCGTTTCAAATTACTGATAGCTTTTGTAACCTCACCTACAGACGGCGGACCAGTGTCTATATCCCATTCGGGTACGTGGTGGATGGCGGGGAGGTTCAGTGTGGCTGTAGGCAAGTTAAATTGTTCCTCAAAGTGTTCTTTCCAGCGTTCAAGGCGTCTATCCTGAGAGCTAATTAAGGAGCCATTTTTCTCAGAAATAGTCTCACTTATGAATTGCCTTTTCCCGCCCGATTCTGTGATGAGTCTAAAGAGTTGCCTAGTGTTGCCTATCGCCAATGCTTTTTCCATCTCTTTCGCCTTTGTCACCCACCACTGTTCACGGTCCTTGCGGAGACTTTTAGTAAGTTTCCTTTTGTGCAGCTTTCGCTCCTCATTGAATTCGGAGCTCGCCGGAATAAGTCTTCTAGCATCTATCAGTTCGGATGAGGCAGTCGAAATCCAGTGGTTTTTACTCACCTTTGGATTTGTCTTATTCACAGCTTTTACAGCTGTATCTATAGCTGACTGAATATTCTTCCAGGCTTCTCCAGGGTGAGCACAGCTGTCGATTCAGATATGCGTTTAGCTAGTTCTTCCTCAAATAGGGATTTAGTTTCCTGATCGAGCTGGGGGCGTGATGGTTTTACCGCCAGCTGTTTCCTACGTCCGTTCAGTCGTAAGCACACACGAGCCCGGACCAGTGCGTGATCGGTATCTACACACGTGTTCCAGAAGGAGCGACAATCTCCTACCGACCCACGCCAACGATAGCTTATTGCTATGTGGTCTATTTGTGTCCAGCGTTGGTTTGATGATGGGGGTCGCCAGGTTAAACAGTGTCTCTCCTTGTGTTTAAAGTTAGTGCTTACAAGAAACAAATGATTATCTGAACAGAACTGTAGGAGACGGTCACCGTTGTCGGTTCGCTGGCACGGAACTCCATAGGTGCCACCGACATCCTTCTCAGATTGACACAATTTCCCTACTTGAGCGTTGAAGTCACCAGCTAGAACGACTATATCTGAGCGTTTAGCCTTTCTCACCAAACTAGACAGCTTTTGGTAGAACTCATCCTTC